ACCCCGGAAGACCCCCGGGAGCAGGCCCCTTCCTTCACTCCCCTCGTCGGCAGACCTGGGCTGCGCCGGACCCACCCGAGCAGACGCATCCAGACCCGGGAGTCCAGGGCAAACCGGAGGTCCAGAGAGCAGACACAGGATACCATGTCGGTGTGGCCAGAGCCCGGACGGCGAGGACACTGGAGCCCAGAGGACACAAGCTGCGCTGGCGGTGGCTCAGCTACGAGGCGACCGTGTGCAGTGGAACTGGGCCTGCCTGGCTCCTGAGGCTGGCCGGGCGCAGGGCCCCCTTCAGCTCGGCCGGTGGCTGGTCACTGTGAAGGGATGATGTAACAGCTGGCGCAAGCCTGGGGCTGACGGCAGGCGGGGGCCTGGTGCTTAGGGCATGGAGGCCACCCCCGACGGCGCCCTGCCTCTCAGTGCCCAGACTCTGCTTCCTCTGGCTCAGTAAACAAGGCCGGCGCCCGCTGCGCCAGCTGTGGCCTAGAAGCCCAGGTGGTGGGCACCTTCCCATCTGCAGCGGCCGCAGTCCTGGCCTTCAAACGACCCCGCCGTGGGACCCAGACGGGGCCCTCACCCAGCGAGGGACCAGGACTCTCCCCAGACGGGCACAGCGAGGGTGTCTGGCCGAGGGGAACCGTGAGTCACCCCACGGGCTCCTGGGGAGAAGCCGGCAGCGTCCCACCTCTGCCCCGGGAAGGCCCACCCCCACCTTCTGGGGTTCTGGGAGTCCTGGCGCCTTGCCCAGGGTGGGAGGCCAGTGGCGTTGGCCCTTTGGAAGGGTGGCGCTCCGCAAGGCCCCTGTCTGAACCCTCACGGGGTGAGACAGTGCACTGGCTTTCTCTGTTTTCACGTAAATGAAGTGCCTCGAAGCGAAGCAAGTGGGAAAGGGAAGGGGATTAGTGTTTGACAAGAGTTCAGACGCGGTGGCCCAGCTCAAGTGCGCCCCCCGGAGGCCTCCCCAGACCGCCCCGGTGGAGCAGGGAGCCCCAGGCTGGCCCGAGGGAGAGGCGTCCGGCACACAGCTGGCTGGCAGTGGCACTGGTCGTCCAGGCAGGGCCATCGGGTGAGCTGGCCGACTGCAGAAGGGCTTTGAGGCTGGGCAGGGACGTGTGGGTCTGGAGGCACCCCTCCACACCCCAGCCGATCTTGGGACCGAGCTCTTCGAGGCAGTGGCGGCTGCAGAGAGCACACGCACCCTGTGGAGGCTTAGAGAGAAAGTCCACTCCAGGGAAGGCTGCGGCCACGGCTCAAGAATCAGGAGCAGCCTGTCTCGGTCGCTGCCAGGACAAAACACCGCAGGCTCGGAGGCTTAACCACAGACATTGATTTCTCCCAGTTCTCGAAGCTGGAAGTCCAAGGTCAAGGCACTGGCCACTTTGGTTCCTGGCGGAGCCCCCATCCTGGCTCACGGAAGGCCGCCTTCTATGTCCTCACGTGAAGCTCTGCTACCTCTTCTAAGGACACCCACGGGGTAGCCTGCCGGGGAGACCTAGCCGGGAGGGGTGTAAACACCCTGCATTTAAGCCCCATGTGGGACTCCGGATGCACGTGTCAGACCTCCCCTCCTTCCCTTGTAAATATCCTGCACCCCAAACTTGTTTTCGTGTCGCCTCCGAGGTCCAAGAAGAGTTGATACCATGGGGTTTGGAGCTGGATCACCCACTGCGCCTGGCGACAGGGGCCTGCCTCTGGTGGCACAGGTGGTGATCTCGTTCCGTCCAGGGGTTTGAGATACACGGACAGCAGGGTGACAGGGCAGGTGGCTGGGGGCCAGGTGTGAGGCCGCCTCTGGTCACTCAAGAAGAAGCTCCAGCTGCAGGGCAGAGAGAGCCAGGCCTGGGCCCACTGACTGCAGAGGTAGCCGGGCTCCAAGAGGAAGGACCCTCCCCCAACAGCAAGTGTGCACAACAGATTCCCCCAGATGCTCCCACCCACCTGGCCCTTAGGCCCTCTACTCCTTGGCTGCGCTCAGGGAGAGGGAGGGGACGTCCAGACATTTGAGAACCAGTGGGCATTCAGGTCCTGAGTTGACACTGACCTCTGGCACATCCTCATGGGCCCTGCCAGGGTGGGACACAGGAGGCTGTTGACAGTGGAATCTTGCCAGGACCGGCTCCCAGCGGGCAATGGCGTCACTTCCTGGTCTCCAAACATGTAACTGGGATTCACATGTGCAAACGACCAACACCCTCTCTGGGGTCAGAGACGCCTGTCAGGAAGCCCAAGGGCGAGGCTGAAACCATCACCCACCCCAGACAACAAATCACAAACGGTACCTCGGGGGAGGGTGGAGACTGGGACACCCCCCCCTTGAGTCTCCGAAGACCCTGGGGTGGTCCCATCAGGAGTGGTAGCCCCAGCCCAGTTCCACGTGACTCAGAACTCAGGGCGGCCCCAGCCCAGCTCCACATGACTCAGAACTCGGTGTTCCCAGGACAACTCCTGCCCCCCGAGGGCAGCATCAGGCCCGGCAGCGCTCCGTGACGGTGCAGGTCAGAAGAGACGAGGACCAGCCCACGCTTTCGCGCACTGGAACGGCCACTGGCAGTCTTTTCCAGACTGTGTTCTAATACAGGACAAAGAGACCCAACTGGCTCGACGCCCCAGTCATGGTGATGACACGGTGTTGAAGTCAGAGGAGGGAGATGGGGCAGGAGACAAACCAGGCCAAGGCAGGGGCACCAGAAATGGTTAGGGGGTGAGGGGTCCAGGGGTCAGAGGCCTGCGGGCTATCCCCTCCCAAGTCAAGAGCAGAGGACCTCATCCCGCACCTCCTAGAAGGAAGCAGGAGACCGCTGGGCGCCGGCGGCAGCATTCGCACCAGAGCCCGTCGGCTGGTAGACCAGATGACTAGAAGGCAGCCAGGTGGGGGACCCAGCATGGATGGGGAGTCGATGGCACCATGCTGCTTCGGCCACTCGTGGACTGCCGTGTGCCGCCCCTCCAATTTTCTCTCTCACTACCCACCTCCTCCTTCCCTACACCAGCCCTGCCCCCCTCGGGCCACCTGGTCACCCCCCCGTGTCTCAGCAGCCGGGCGGGAGCCCCTCACCTGCTCCCCCAGTGACAGCCAGTGAAGCCGCTGGCTACCTAAACCAGGACCCAGCTGGAAGCTGCTCAGTACTGATGTTTATTTATAAAGTTACATCCTAAAAACGTTTCTAATAAATAGTTTTAAACAAGATCTGTCCCGATGCGCCGTAAGGCCTCTCTCTGGGGCCAGGGAGACAGGGCGTGGAGGATTTCAGGGAGGCTCTGTCGGCTCAGCGGCGTGGAACGAAGGTGCCCACCGTGAGTTTTTCTTGCCCTTCCTGCAGCACCTGCAGGGACGGGGGCTCTTTGCCAGGACCCGCTCAGGCCCGGCCGCCGCGGCCCTGGCGTGTGGGCCACTGGGAGTCCCTCAGACCCCTGGTCACCGAAGCCGACACGCAGGGTCACCCGGTTAGGCTTTCATCACTGCCACGAAGGAGGCCTGCGGGAGGAGATGGCGAGGGCTGGCGGCACTGCCCTGGTTCGAGGGGTGAAGGCCCGCCCTCATGCCCTCCAGGGGCTGTCATGGCAGCCCCAGCTCCTGGGCCCCGAGAAGCTCTGCCTGGGGCTCTCAGGGGAAGAGACCAGGGCACCTCGTGTCCCAGGGCACAGCCCAGCCTTCAGGGTGGCCGCTGGGAGGAGCTAGGCGGGGGAATTAAGACCCAGGGCACCAGGAGGCCCCAAAGCAGAGTGAGCTGGGCCCTCCCAGGCCCCATACATACCTCCTCGAGGAGCTGCCCCAGCATCTCCTGGCTGTGAATGGAGCGCCTGTGGGAGAAGACACCGCTCTCACCCCTCTGGGTCCCTCCCTGCGCACCTGGAGAGGCAGCCACGCTCCAGGCCCGTCTGCTCTCTAGACGGCGCACTCTTCTCCCACAGGCCTCTGGGCTCTGCCAGGACAGTGAGAGCTGGGGTGTGTGCGACAGGTGGGAGAGAACCAGGGGCGCTAAGATGCTGAGGACCACGGCCCCCCGACCGACACACACACGCCCACCCACACACGGCCCCGGCACCCCACCTGTCTATTCTGGTCTCTACGGTCACTGTGAAGGCCCCCTCTGTGTCCGGCAGGTAGGTGGAGGGCACGATCCAATAGGTCCCCTCGGACAGGTGGCAGAGCCGGCTGACCTCCTGGGCGTAGCAGTGCGGCACACAGCTTAGCAGAGGCTCCTGGAGCAGCAAGGAGGGCGCATCCTGGCCCCCGCCGTCCGCTGGGACCTGGGGGAGGCCCGGGCTCAGACCGGGCGGCCTGCCCGTGGGCGGACCGAATCGGCTGTGCCCGCCAGGACGGCAAAGGCAAGTCCCCTATCTCAGCCTTGGCCTCGCTCCCTTCCCAGGCAGCACTGCCCTGGGTTGGGAGCAGCCTGGTGCAGTCTGCTTGGACCCCGTCACACATGCCAGGCCCCCGAAGCTGGACTCGCCACTCACCGGGGCCCCACCACCCGAGGGCCCCAGGCTGGGGACCAGCAGAAGGCCCGCCCTCACGTCCTCCAGCGGCTGTCACTGCAGCCCCAGCTTCTGGGCCCTGAGAAGCTCTGCCTGGGGCTCTCAGGGGAAGAGACCAGGGCACCTCGTGTCCCAGGGCACAGCCCAGCCTCCTCCGCTGGGAGGAGCTAGGTGGGGGAATTAAGACCCAGGGCACCAGGAGGCCCCCACTGCACAAGCCCCTGCCCCAGGACTCATCTCTTTGGCCCCGGCACCGGCACTATTTTCGAAGCGCCGGGGGGGGGTACCCCAGGGGTGGCCTGCAGTGGAGCGAGGCACCAGAGTACGTCCTCAGCCGTTGGGATCCTGACGGCACAGAACCTTCTCAGAGAAGAGCCGACCCTCCCCTCCCCCACGTCGTCTGTACTGCAGGCTAAGCGTGCCCAGCCCCATGACGGGCCCCTGATGGCACAGCTCCGGGCCATCTTCCAGCCCATGCCCTCCTCGGGCACCTGCCACTGCCCAAGCCCATCTTGAAGCGGGGTCCCCAGAAGGAGCAGGGGAGCCACACTTCACCATGGGATCTGGGTTTGCGACCTCCGACCTCTGGCACTTCACCTCCCCGCCTTCTCCAGCTACACGTCCGCTAGGTGCATCCTGTTCACGTGCAGGGAGAGGAAGAGCTGACTGAGGCCAGGGAAGGCGCTCGGGGCGGCGTTTGTGACTCCCTGGCCCTCGCCTGGCCTCCACGGTCTCCTGCCACCCGTGGGTAGAGCTTCAGGCCCACGTGAGCCCGGGAGGCAGCCTCTCCTCCGCGGGGGCAACCGGCACACTTCCCCGAGCTCCCGAAGGCCGCCCCACCCTCCTACTGCCTGGGATTCGGCCCCGCACCTCGGCCTCGCTCTCAGCTCCTACCCCCAGCTCTATCTTCTCTTTCTGATCAGAAGACCCTCACTTGGTGGCGCGACCGTCCATCGCGTCTCAGCGGGTGTGGGCCTCCCCTCCGTCCCTTCCCTGCTGGTCCCCAGAGCCCAGGCCCTCGCTGGTTCCAGACTCAGGACCGGGGTTTGGGGCGGGGAGGATTCATGCGGCTTCAGGGCGGCTCCTGCTGGACAACGGCACCCTCTGCGCCCTGTCGGGCCTCCCGGCTGCAGGTGCAATGCTGGGGGCAGCTCAGGACACAAGTGTCCAGTGGTTCTGAGCCCGGGCGAGTGGACGAGGGGCTTCCTGAGCTGAGCCGTGACCCCCAGTGAGCTATGGACTTTAGGAAACCTAGAAATGAGTCTTGCGTGTGACTGGATGATGCGGACAGACCCCGGGGGGCCTCTCTCCCTGACCCAGCTCACCCCACCCGGACGCCCGGGAGCAGGGGCGCCTGCCTGGAAGACGTGGAAGCCGATGGCGACCTCGTGGTCACGGCAGTGCTGGCGCAGGGTGATGCGGACGCAGCGGGGGCCCACGCCCTCCGGCACCGAGAGGGGGAAGCGGGGGTTGGTGGGGTAGGAGGCAAAGTTCCGGCTGCCCCCCGCCGTCCGGCCGACTCTCCAGGAGCCCCGCAGCCTCACGGTCTCCCACTCGCCCACAGGCAGGGCCTCCCGGGGGGCAGCGCTCTGGGCTGCCGGCTGGATGGCGCTGCCGGGGAGACAAGCACAGGAGGCGGCCGTGGCGCGAACGCACGTGGCCCTGTCCCAGTCCCCGGCCCGCCCGCCGCCCTCACCTGAGGCAGACTCTCCCGCTGGAGAAGACCCGGAGCAGGAACCGCCCTGGCACGTCCTTCAGGAAGGTGCTGGGCACGGCCAGGTAGTAGCCCGGGGCGAGCTCACAGCGCAGATGGACCTCGCGGTCGTACGCATGGCACGCGGTGCCCGCCACGGGGGGCGCGGACAGGGCCTTGGGCAGGCTGACCCGCCGCTTCTCCACCTGCAGGGGAGGCCCATGTGCACCCGTCACAGAAGGGCCCCACTTGAAGCACCCAGGCCTACGGGTCCCCCGCACCCCGGTGAACCCGGGCCTTCCCCTCAGCCCTGGGGTCAGCGGCTCCGTCCCACACGGGAGCCTGCAAGTCCTCCTCTGCTCTGGGAGGAGACAGACAAATCCAGACAGGGCCGTGCCTGCAAAGGCAGGAGGCTGATGCAATCTGGGGACTGCCAGGCAAAAGCTTGCTAGCAGTTTCTGCACGAGGAAAGCAACACCAGGCAGGCCGTGGCCACACAGGGACGGGGAACAGTGCGATGTGAGCTGTCAGACCCCGTCAGGACACACAGGGTTAAAAACCAAGCGACTGGGCAAGCCAACGGGCAGCGCGGTCCTCTGTTGGCCACCCTCCTGTCCCCTCGGAGAGCAGGACAGGGGTCTCCATCGGGAGCCACAGACCTACCCTCAGACAACCCACGAGAGCACAACAACCCCATCCCTGTTTTGTAGGGAGGGGACTGAGGGAGGTCCCGGGCTGCCCTCAGCAGCCCTCCTAACACCTCTGCCAGCTCTGCTAACGGCTGCTTCTGTGTAGCTTGCCTTTGGCCAAAGGGCACACCCTGGGCCAGGCGGAGGGAGGTGAGTCCTGTGGACTCAGATCTGAATGGGGTCTGTGGGAAGACAGCCGGGGGGGCGAGAGGCACATCGGGGGCTCCTGGGGCTCAGGCCTCCTCACCCCTGTGCCTGCATCCCACAGAGCGGGGTGCCAGGCCCGGGTGGGTTACCTTCCAGATGTGCAGGCCCACGGCCTGGTAGTCCCTGCCTGGGCGGCCCGCCGTGCGCAGCTGTGGTCTCTGCAGGACGGCCATGTATACCTCGCTGGGTTCGCAGACCCGCAGCCAGAACTTGGGGTTGCTGGGGAAGCCGCTGTAGTTCCGGCAGCCTCCCGCTGACTGGCCCTTGACCCAGGCCCCGGGCAGCTCCTGAGTGTGGCACAGCGCCCTTCCTGGGCGGGGACCCCCACGTCAGCTGCAGGGACGGGGTCCCCCCCGCGCTCCCTGCACTAGCAGGGGCCCCCCACCCCGCCACCTGTCCCCCCAGGGCAGGTGGGGATGCAACCACCGCTCCGCCCTGAAGAGAAGCCAAGAGGCAAGAGGGGTGCTCGGGCAGCCCGCGGTGGGGCGCGGTGCCTGCTCAGCCCCGGACTTCAGAGTCCAGTTGTCCGGGCCACTGCGAGCCCATGAGGCCTCCCCAAGGGCGCAGGCCTCCCTTACCTGAGCAGAGGCTCTGCAGGTGGCCAGCCTCCGAGATGGGGAAGCCGATGGTGACCTCGTCAAACTCCCGCAGAAACTCGTCCTCCTCCACCCAGAACTCCCCCTCCTGGAGCTGCGACAGCAGCTCAGACTGGGCCTCGGACTCCACCCGGTTCCACCCTTCACCCCTGGAAGGAACCTCCCTTCAGCCGAGGCCTCCCGCCTGCTGAGTGGATGACAGGGGCGGCAGGGCGGGGGGGGGGGGGGGCGGATGCTGGTCCCGCTCTGCGACCCTGGGCCGGAGAAGGGGAGCAGCCCTGGTCCAGGTCTTGACGCTGACGACTGGGTGCAGGCGTTCCGTGGGTCTGTCACCCGCAGCCCGGCAAGGCATCCACCAGTCCGTGGGTGCCCTTGACTCAGGACAGGCCCCGACCGCCCCGGGCGCCTGGGTCGCAGGGCCCAGCACTAAGCCTGCCTCAACAGGCCATCCGGGGCCGAGCACAGAGCACGGTGGCCCACGAGCAGGAGAGCAACCAAACCCTGTCCTGACCACGGCCCAGCCTCGGACACCAGGCGCGCACGCGGTCAAGGTGGCTCTGGGCTGCCCCTCGGGCCCTGCACCCCTCCCCCAGCAAGACCAGCGCGATGACCCAGAGTGCACCTCGCCGCACTCACCCCTCTCTCCAGGGCCCCTGCCAACACCGCCGGCCCCAGGGGTTCTGAATCCGCAGCAGCAGGATGCTCTGACCAGCCCGACCCCGGAGCTCTCGCAGGTCCGAGACAATGAAAGCATGAAACTCCCCCAGCGCCCTGGTACCTGGGTGAGGGACAGCCAGGAAGTCCTCAAACCGAGCAGATGCACAGGTCCGCCTCCTTCCCTGGGACGCCCCAGCCCACTCAACTGCGGCTGCACAGGCACCCGGGTCCCTGCGGGCCACCAGGGGCTCCTTTCCTGACCGCTGCCGACAAGTCAGCTCAGGAGTGGCCTTATGCAGCGTGAGTCACAGTGAAGGACCTGGGTTTAGACTCCGGCTCGGCTGCCACCAGGCCTGACGAGTCATTCCCTTCTCTGGACCTCGGTCCTCGTTGGGAATGATGAGGGAGGTTCTCAAAAGGGCTGCTCCCAGCACTGTCATGGGCGGCTCTGCGACACCAGAAACTAGAGAAACCTCTTCTCAGCGATCTGCTAAGGTGTCAGGGGCGTCAGGTAGTGTCTGAGCAGAAACCGGTGGGGAGGGCTGGAGGCCCGCGGGAGACCCTCCACCTGGCCAGAGGCCTTGGGACAGACAGGCGCAGAAGTGAAGGGGCCAAGCAGAGACTGGTGGGCGGGTGGTGGTCCAGACAGGAGAAGAAACTCCTGGAATGTCTTTAAGTGCTTTGCTTAGAAAGGCACTGGAGCCACCACTCTGGGTGTCCCGCCCACGTCCCCAGCCCCCTGCCACTTCGGTGGGTTCCAGATGCTCTCCATCTTTGCCTGTGGATTCCCCCAAAGCCTGAAGTGCCTAGAATTAGCCCTACCCCACCCTGGGGGCAGCTGGTGCTACACAGGCCACCGTCTGAGGTAGTGTCTCGCACAGCGTCCCAGCACAGCACTCTGTGGGCTCCCCTCACCCCCCAAGTGTGCTTCCCCAACCCCACCCTGAGGCCTGCAGGTGGGCAGACCAGCCCGGGGCTGTGTGCTAACGCTCACGCGCCGCCGGGCAGCGCAACGGCCAACACGTGGCAGTTTATTTTGATGTTCTTATTCTTCGGACAAAAAGCCCGTTAGGAAAATAACCGTAAATATGAAAACAACTGTGAATAAAAATGTCCACTGCAATGTTATTTATAATAGCATAAAATGGAAAGACCTTGAATACCCAACATCAAGGGAAGGGTTAAGAAGAGTGCAGCAGATACACTGATAACGTAAGACGCTGACAAAGCTTACACAGCAACACAGAGAATGGTATATGATATAGAATATAAAACATATACATCTTTTTGAAAAAAAAACTGAGAAAGGGGACTAAAAAGTCAAAAGTAGTCAAGTCTGAGTGATTTTTTCTTTCAACGGATTTCTTTCAATGAGCAGGTATATTACTAAACTGAAAACCTGACTGTCGCTCTTGCCAGGTTACCAGCTGGGCCAGAGATGGTGCCACCACCTGGTGACCCCAATGCAGGCTCCCGTCTCCCCATAGGGGTAAGCCCTGGTCAAGGGAAAAGGGGACACTTCCCTCCAGAGAAGGACGGTCAGTAGGGAAGGTCACACACTCAGACACCAGTTCCGAAGGTCCTCCTTTCCACTTAGCCCATATAGGACCACAGTAAAAAGCTCTGTACAGGAGGCCGAGAGGGCTCAGGTGTGCAGGCCTGCCATGCCACCGCCCGCTCCCGCCCTACCTGTTCTGGGGCTGAGCACCGAGCAGGTCAGCAGACAGCGGTCCTTCAGGCTGAGCAGCTGCCGACAAGTCCTACGTTCCGCGCCCCTGGGCCTGTCCTGCTGGCCGCTGGTTCCTGCCATGTCCTTCAGGTTCCACCTTTCGGCCAGGCCACCAGTGAGGTCCACCAGGGCGTCAGCCACCTGTCCCGCCCACAGGTGCTCATAGGACCCGTAGACCCTGGGGAGACAGCCAGGAGGGCGTGAGGCTCCGGCACCAGGCCCCCTGCCCCTCTCCTGTCCCCTGTGGTCTGCCTTCTACCCACCTCAATCGCCTCTCTTTCCTCCCCTCTTTCCCTCCCACCCTGTCCTCACCAAGTCCAGACACAAGCTCGCCTCCAAGGCCATAAGGGACAGCACCCCGCAGTGCCCTGCGGCCTCTGCCCCTGTGGGGCACCAGCGGGAGGCGGGCACAGAGGCTGTGAGCTCCCACTCCTGCGTCTCTCATGATCAAGGCCTTCGGCCCCGCCAGCGGCAGCAGTGGAGGGCTCACTCCCACCGCGGAAGCCTGCCTACCAGCCCAGCGCCTTTCAGCACGGCCATCAGCACACTCGGGGAGGAAGTCCTTGGTCTCAGGACTACGATAAACGAGCATGGTACCTCAGTGGCCTCATTCCTTCCCAGCAACCTGCACAGAGGCCGCCTGTCCCCAGTGGTGACACAGATAGACAGAGACATTTCTCTCGCTTGGGTTTGAGGAAAGAGAGAGGAAAACACACACCCTCTTTCTGGAGGCGAGGCCTTCATGCCCAACTTTGAAATGAGGGCAGGGAAAGAGGGAGTGGGCAGAGGGGACAGCAAACCACAGGCCAAGTCTCAGAGTTTCTGTCTCTGGACGGGTCGCCCCACCCAGGACTGGCCACCAGGCCCTAGCTGCTGACAAGGACGCTGCAGCCCAGGGAGAGCAGATGTGCTTCCCGGGCCCCCAGCCCGCCTGGCCCGGCCCCTCCACCCCCAGCGTGCGTACTTGGCGTAGACCTTCTCCAGTAAGGGAAGCCAGAACACATCCTCCCTCTGGCACCGGGAGAAGCAGAGTCTCCCTGCAAGACAAGGCAGACGGTCATCTATGGTCACCTCCACCCAGCGTCCAAACTGCCAAACTCGACAGGTGAAGGAGCCGCGGTACGTCTGGTCGAGCCAGCTCGGCTGTCCCGGAGGAAAGACCTGCCGCGCGCGGGGAGAGGCAAAAGGAGACGGTGAGAGAAGCCACCACGCGGCGCACTCCCAGCATCCCGAGCAGAACGTGACCGTGCTGAACGGTACCCTCCCTTCACGCAAAGGATTCCACCTCCCCCGACGCCTGGCTGGCAGTGCTTATGCAAAACCCGCTTACTGGACAGAAGACTAATAGACCTTTTAATAAAAGATGCTAGGGCCACACCGAGGGAGCCGACTGTCTCCCAGAGGTCAAAGTCGACCATTAATGTCCTACTGTCCCCAATAAGCATGTGACCTGAATCCAAAACAAATGTGACTTTTATAGGCCTGAGTGACCCAGTTCTCGACAGAGTGGCTGGTGGCAGGTCACCATGGGCACAGCGACCCCCTGGCTGGAGCCTGGGGCCTCAGAAACTCTGACAGTGCCCGGCCCACTGTTCATTGCTGGGTTTGTGATTCTGGCCTAATGCTGAGAGACAGGACGGACTCTGGACCCAGATGGCCTCGTTTGGGCCTGGCTCTGCCCCTTACTAGCTGGGAACGTGACAATGGTTTTAGTGCCCTCATTTGTAAGAAAGGGTCAAAGCCAGCAAGTCCTGTGAGAATGAAAGCCAGCAACTGGGGTGGGCTTAGCACAGGGCCTGGGACATGGGAGCAGTTCGGAAAGGGGTCACCACCGTCAACACTGTTGCCTGTATCGGTGACACTTAGCGAGGCCGTGAGGGCTCCTGGGGAAGGAGCCTGACAGGCCTTCTATAACTGTGGTACCTGCTTAGCATCGGAAACAGTTTTAATCACCTTTTGCCAATTTATATTCTAAACCTGTTAAAAAAAAAAAAAGCAACCGCAACTAGCTAGGAAGCTTACTCCAAAGCAGCACAGGACCTCTCAGCCAACCCTTTTCTACCCTGGGCTGGCACGTTTGTCTTTTTATTCCAAATGCCTGCCTGACCCAGGGCTCAGGAGATGGCAGAGCAGGGCAGAAAGCAGCCCTGCTGGCCCCTGCGGGAGGGGGTCACTGCATCTGCGCCTTGGAGCCCCCGAGGGCCGAGCCCCGCAGGGCAAGAGCTTGGCTGCCTCCTGCTTCCTTCCAGCGCGGGCAGACAGGAAGCAAGGGCCGGAGGGGAAGCCGCGCTGTGGCAGACACCTGGTCCAGGAGGTGCTGGCTCTTCTGCAGGGCGGCGCAGGCGCACAGGAACCAGCAGTCCCCTAGCAGCCCTTGCTTCACCTGTCCTTCCTGAGCGCGATCTGCAAACAGCTGGGGCGTGGCACAGATTTCCTGAAATAAAGAAAATCGTCCAGAATTACTTCATGCCTGTGGCTAGCTTTAAAACTAAGAATAGAGGATCTATGTGACAGGGGCTGGGGAGGAGCTTTCCTGGTCATCCACATTGCCTAAGAGGGGACGGGAAGCAGCTGGCTTCTTGCAGCCAGTATCCGTCAGCCTCTCCTGGCTTCAGATCATCGCATCCAACTTAAGATTCCGGGGTCCCTGTCTCTGTCCACCTTCCTTAATTGGCAAAACTCCCAACTCTGGATGAATCCTACCCTGCCTTTCATAAAACAGTTGGTCTAGAAAACGGTTTCACTTTAAATTCATACAGGCAAGTCTCAAGTGGGTCCTCTATACTGTTTCTCTAAAAGGCTCAATTTTCCACACCCCAGACTAGTTTACCCCTTCTCCTTCCTCCTTCTCTTCCCAAAACACCCTCGCCCCTCTAAGCGGATGGCCTCACCTGATGCTCCATCAGAAGCCCCCGGACCTGACCTGTTCCTGCCCTCAGTATCTGATCCCTCCCACGATCCCCGCTTCCTTCCTTCTCTGCAGGGAGGATCCCACCAGCATAAGGCATGGGAGAGGATGTCTCCTCTTCTCTAAGATGCTGTCCCTGGGCACTATTTCCCCTCTAGGCCCGTCACTGACCGACTTCTCGAAAGAGCTGTTGCCCCTACTTCCTCCCTCCGGCTCCTTGCCACACCTCGTTGCTTCTGAGCCAGCCATGCCCCCAAAACTGCTTTTATCAATGTCACCTCCGTGTCGTCACCTCCAACGGGCATCCTCTGTCCTTGTCTTTCCCAACACTCGGCAGCATCAGAGCAGTGTCTGCCCCCGACCCCAGCAGTCCCCTCCTGGCTTCCATGATTCCAAGGGCTTCTGGCTGTCCTTTCCCCTCACTGCCTGCCACTTCTCAAGTCTACCTGTCAAGGCACCTGCGGTTCCTCAAGGCTCGGTTCCAAGCCGCCTCTTCTTCTCTGCCCATACTTTCTCCTGAGATACCCTTCCAGACCCTGGACAGTAAGCCATCTGTTACAGTCCCAGCTCCCAGTGGAGCATCTAGGCCAGGTCTTCCTGAGCTCCCGACTCTCATATCCACTTGCCTACTGTCAGCTCCGCCTGAACCTGTGAGAGCAAAACCCAAGCCTACATTTCCACCCCTAGCTCTCCCCCACCTCCCAGTTTCCCCAGCACAGCAACCGGGACCATCATCCCCCCAGGTGCTCAGGCTAGAAATCTAGAAGTCATTCTTGGTCCCTCTTTCATCCTCACCATCTACTTCCAATCGGTCACTAAGACAAATGGGTCTCAGACCTACCTCTGCCACTTCTTAGCTCTGAGACCTTGGGCAACATTTTGACTTAACGTTGGTTTCCTGGTCTGTAAAATGGAGATACAAGTACCAAGGTGGACTAAATAAAATCAAGGGCATAAATTCTGTGCACATAGAATACCTATAGCCTTTACTGGCATATAATGAGCGTTATGTAAATATAAGTTTCTCTTCCCATTTCCTGACCACCATGAACCCGACTCTAGTTTCCAATCGGTCACTAAGACCTATCAATCCCCCCTCCAAAATATCTCTCAAATCCATCCACTCCAAAGCCCCATCCCAACGGCTGTCACACCAATCTGAGCTCCTTCATCTTTCTCCAGGACCACTGCAATGGCCACCTTCATTCCTGCCCCAACAATCCATTCCACACCTGGCAGTAAGAGTGAGCTTCTTAAAACGTAAATCAAATCGAATCACTCCTCTACTAAAAACATTCTAATGGCCTCCCATTGTCCCTAAAATCCACTCCCCACACTTTTTTTAACCCAAATTCCACCGGCATGGCCGGTCAGGCTCTTTGGCCCTTGGCACCTCCATGCCAAACAGGCCCTCTCAGTGTTGCCCACGGAAAGCACCTCAACAGGCAGAGCCAGGTCTGGACTTCTTCCAGGGCTGCTGCACACAGATGTCCCCACTAAGACTGCATACACTCAGGGAGAGACTGTTCCTTGGACAGTCTTATTCAGCTGATACGCCATTTCTAAAGATACCAGCATAGCACCAGGCCGGCGCATCCCTCTAACTGCCACCTTAAAGTGCACGAGGTCCAAGACAGGAACGTGCACAGCAAAACAGCTTTGCTTTGTAGGCTCAGCCTGGCCCTTCCAGAACATAATGAGAAACAGAACGAGACCGCTTGTGGCCAGAAGAGCCATGCAGACTGGAAGCTCTTCAAAGCAGACGCAAGTGCGGCTGAGTTTGCGTCTGTTAAAACGCCCCTCTCGCTGTGGCTTGAATCTCCTATTGAATAGAACTCTCGCAAGTAGGGGCCGTAAACTCGGGTCCAGCACACCCCAAGTGGACTAGGGAGGGGGCCTGGGAGCCCACTCAGGAGGACAGCGGCGGCAGACCCTGCCGACCGTCGTGCACCCAGCCCCGGCTAACCCCGGCCGCCGCGCTCGCACCCCTGCAGGAAGGAGCGCCTGGAGGCCTGGCGCGAGACGCGTGAGACCCGCGCGCCCCCCTGCCCCACCTGGGGCCGCCTCCACGTGATTTCCTCCCGGAACTGGGCCAGCGGCGTGGAGAAGCTGGAGAAGAGCGAGGAGTCCGAGGCCGGGAAGGCAGCGTCCCGGAAGAGCTCCCTGGCCGGCGCCCGCATCTTGGGCACCCCGAGCTCCCATCTGCTGCCCGCGCCCCGGTGCCGAGCGCAGCCGAGGGAGCGCGCAGCCCCGGAGGGAGCGCGAACCGGCCGCGGTCCCGCCTGCCTCGCGCCTCCCCCGTCCGGCCCGGCCCCCCAGCCCCGCTGGACCCACAGTACCACCCGGCCCCGGTGCCCGCCCGCTCCGTCGCCCCGGTAACCGTCGATCTAGGCTGCAGCCAACCAGGCGCGTAGCCCCCGATCACATGACAGAACGGCCCAATCCCACTCGAGCGTTGGGAAGTCCGCGCCAGATTCCCAGCCCGCAGGGGGCGTGGCTCTCGAGCTAGGCTCCAGCGAAGCCGGTTAGTCGCCTTGGCTGCACTTCTTTTTTCCAGGGCCGGGGGGCTCGAAGGTGTCTCAGCGGATACTCACACCTGGGAAGCCAGCAGCGTCTTGTCCTGGGGCCGGTGTGGTTCGGGTCGGGGCGTCGGGACTGCCTCCTGAGGCTGAAGGGACCAGAGAGGCAGTCTCGGCCGAGGTCGGGCTACGAACTACAGGTCCCAGCATGCCGTGCTGCCTCCAGAATGCACTTCTTCCGGCGGGGGCGGTGGGTCCGGCCACCTGGTGTCGGGAGAGCCAATGAGAGACTCGGGAAGGGGAGCTGTGGGCCGTCGGGGACCGTGTGGTGTCCGCCACTGTTGTGGTTGTGTGCTGGGGTCCTGGGGAATGTTACGGCCCCGGGAGGGCCTTCCCAGGCCTGGGAGGCTGTCTCAGGGCAGGCTGGGATCAGACGCGCTAGATCCTGAGCCGGGCAGGCGATGAGGCTGGAGCATCCTCCTGGTCCCCAGATGGCCGGGCATCTGGTACTGGTGGGCTGGACAGTGACCCGCTGGAGTTGCGGTTATAGCTCATGGCCGCTCAGTGCTGCGGGTTGGTGAGGGCAGTGATTTAAGGATCTGCTCAAGCATTCACCTTTGCTGCAGGAACCTGCCCTTCCCCGTCCCCATTCCTAGGAAGGAAGGCAGGCAGCCAGCCAGAGGCTTATTCTCTGACTGCCTCTCCAAGCCTGCTTCACTGTGGCTGGAGCCTTCACAGAGGGCCGCACGGGGGAGGAGATGGGGTGGGGTGGGGCACAATCCTTCTAGAACAGCTCTCTGATACCTACTAGAGCTTCTCAGATTTTGTATCCCCAGGCCGCTTTTGCCCAGCCTCCCAGATAGGAAGGGTGGTCAGATCGAAGCCCTTCTGCAATCTGATCCGTGCTGATGAGAAACGGAGCGTGGTCCAGGAGCCCCTGCCCCGGCCTTCTTGCTCCAGAGCCCCCAGTTGCTGTGACAGCTGCGGCTTCTCCCTCTGAGAGGCCCAGCAAGGCCTGCATGAGGAGCAGCTGTTGGTGGTGGCATGATACGGGGGGGTTTGGAGGCCTAGGGTCCTCATCTCTGCTGAGGTTGTAGAGAAGGGAGTGACCGCATCGTCTGACATCTCTCTCTGGGATGCTCACTTCATGACCCTTGCCCCCGTGGTGCTGACTCTCCCAGAAGATGTTTATGGCAGGCTGGAGGCTGCACCGTAGCTGAATGGAGTCAGGAATGGCCTGGGCCCTGCTTCATGTGGGTGTCCTGAAGGACTAAGAGAAACTTCCCTGACCTGGGGTGTTGGGTGACTGGTCTGCTCCAGGTAACACGCTGGGGTGGTGAGCAGCGGGCTGGGGCCAGCCCAGGATCTGGACTCTAAGTGGGGGCCTCTGCTGTGCCACTTACCCAGGCTTGCAAGCTCTGGAGAGCAAGCAGTCTCCTGCGGGCATGTCGGTGTGCAGAGCTGGGCCCAGGCCCAGAGAAGGGGCCAGCAGACAGTTGGTGCGGGGTAGGCACCAGCCCAGGCCTGCAGTGTTGGTTTGTGACCAACACCGAGACAGCATGAAGGCATCTCTCCTGTCGGCCTGCGGGCACAGCTCCTCCTGGGCCACACTTACCCCCACAAGCCCTGTGGTGCCATTCCCCACCTCTGGGTGCAGAGATGACCCCTTGGCCAATTAGCAGTAGTCCCCTCTTCCTCCTGGGCCCACCCCCCAGCCCTGTGCAGAGTGGAGCCTCTGGCTTGTGGGTATCAGGAGGCGATGGAGGCAGCCTGGGGTGGGAAAATGAGGAGGTGTTCTGGGGGCAGCTGGTGCACAACCCCAGTCTCCACAACCGCAGGTCCTGGGATGGGCAGTTATTTAAAGTCTGACCTCAGGGCCCTCGCTGTAAGGCGGGAACACCAGCTCCATGTCATAGCGCTGTTTGACGGTTGCAAGTGAGACATCGGGAGGCCCCGTGGAGCTGCAAGAAGGATTGGCCTCGGGCCTCTCAGGTTAGGAAGCTCTTGAGACACGTTCTCAGTGACATTGATGCGTCTGAATTGCAAGGCAGTTTCAGGCCCACAGAACAGTGAAGGCCACGTGCCCGACCCCAGGCAGCCCGAGACTGACTCATGTCCCGGGCCTTCGGGCGGTGGGGTGGCTGTCCCTCTGAGCAAGCCCTTCTCTCCGGGACTCTCCTCCTGAGGGGACGGGACAGGTGGGAGGTCCCCTACCTTAGCAAGGCCCTGGGCGCGCAGGACCAGCCTCCACTACGCACATCCCAGAGCTGACTCTGGCCTCTGAGCACCGAGAGATGGTGGGAGCGCGGGTGTCCGCCCCCCTGGGGCCGGGGGCACGCAGAGCAGTAGTCCAGGGCCCCCGAGCCAGGAGCACCCTGAGGTCACCTGAGCAAGAGTCACCGGAATCCTGGCCCTGCTGGGCGGCTGTCCCAGCTGCTCTCTGGGCCCGTCTCCAGCTGCAACCCCCACAGTGCAGGGACCCTGGGGCGGGCTGACGATTACGTGAGAAACAAGGCTGGGCCTGGGCCGAGGGGCGTCAGCGAGGGCCACGAATGTGGACTGTTTCCCTGTGGGACGGTCTTCGCTGGGGCGGAGCGGGAGTGTGTCCTGGAAGCGTGGGTCTCTCCCCTGCCCCTGTCTGGAGGTTCCAGCTGAAGGAATCTCCCCAGGCAGGGCTGGAACAAAGCCATCTGTGTCTTTCCTGCAACCCGCAATCAGTTCAACAGAAGTGAGGAAGGTCCCGCCCCTAAGGGCTTGAAGGGTCAAATGCACTTGACAACGCTGAGACGCGGAGTTTGTACGATCCTCACGCATCTCAGAGGTAGGTGTCACCGTCCCATTTTACGACAAAGAACCTGAACTTCAAAGGGAGGAGGGGGCAGCCCAGGACCCCACAGCTATACGTGGGACGGAGCCAGCGTTCCGAAACCAGGCAGGCCTAGGTCGCTTTGCTTGCTGACAGAGGAATGGATTCTTTTGCGGTGATGTTTTAGATTGTTTGGGTTTTTTTTTTACCTCATTGTTAAAAATAATACACGCTCCTGATAGGACTTTCCCCCTTAACTACTGCTCCAAAGTAGTCACGTGTTCTTAAGTTTTATTTTGAACACAATACAGGTAATTTCTTCTTGACTTCACTGCTCTGAGGTGACCGGATTTCCAAGTGGGATATTTTCTGCACTGCGGGCGTCGCGTCCTCTATTCCTCTCTGCTAGCTCGTGCGTTTTTGAACAAAGAAGGATTATCTGGGCCTGGGTGGGTGGGCGGTAGCACTCTCCACCCTGCCCTGTGCTGAGAGCCCCTGCCGGATGCTGGGCTAGCCCTGTGGGAGCCTCGGCACAGCCCGTGTTCATGGTGCACCCTGCCCTGTGCTGAGAGCCCGTCTGATGCTGGGCTATAGCCCTGTGGGAGCCTCGGCACACCCCGTGTTCAGGACGCACCCTGCCCTGTGCCCATTAGAGCCCCTGCCGGATGCTGGGCTAGCCCTGCAGGAGCCTCGGCACACCCCGTGTTCAGGGCGCACCCTGCCCTGTGCTGAGAGCCCCTGCCGGATGCTGGGCTATAGCCCTGTGGGAGCCTCGGCACAGCCCGTGTTCAGGGCACACCCTGCCCTGTGCTGAGAGCCCCTGCCGGATGCTGGGCTAGCCCTGCGGGAGCCTCGGCACACCCCGTGTTCAGGGCGCACCCTGCCCTGTGCTGAGAGCCCCTGCCGGATGCTGAGCTAGCCCTGTGGGAGCCTCGGCACAGCCCGTGTTCAGGGTGCACCCTGCGCTTGGCCTTCACCCTCCCAGCATCTGGTGATTATTTAGAGAGAAAGTGAAGAAAAACAAAACAAAAACAAAAAACAAAACCCTTAACAGCTGCCATCAGAATCCTCTTGGTGGAAGGACAGCCTGTGTTAGGGTATGTGTGTTAGGGAGGCTGCCTGGGGCGAGGCGGCCTTAGGTGGCCCAGCCTGGCCGGGGAGGTCTGATGGTGGGTAGACGGGGGCAATGGCTAAGGAGAGGAGGCTGGAGTCCCGGATGTGTTGAGAGCGAGGATGCCTTGATCAGTCTGAGCTTCTTCGTGCGGCCCAGTCTTTCCACGACCCCGGGTCTTGGGCGAATCCTACCGCTTCGCGCTTCCTCTGTTCTTTCCCTTCGTCAGGCCTTTGCTGACGCGAGGAGGGCTCTTTGATGCTCCAGTCCCTGAGTCCCGTCTTCACTGTGACCATTCTTCTCGGGTTGCATTTTTTTTATTTAAAAAGTTGTCCCTTTAAGAAACTTCCAAGGTCTCTGACTGGTTCTTTTTCTTGATTCCTGGTCATCTCACAGGTGCCTATTCCTGTCTTAGGGTTTATTTCAAACCACCCCCACCCCGCCATTGTGTGGCTGAGACGTTAGTTGTGTTCTGATTACTTTGTCAGCCCTGCTTCCCTGGGGGTCAGCTTGGGCCGGGGAGTGTTGGCCGCTGTGCACGTGGTTGGTGCTCTCCTGGGTGGGTGCTTGACTCGGCCTTATGTTTACATCTGAAGTTCTACCCAAGGCACCTGGCCTGAGAGAGGGGGGCTTACCCCCAGTAAGTCCCAGTAAGAGTGGGGGAGGGGAGAGAAGCGCCCCCAAGGCAAGTCTGGACCACACAGGACACGGCTTGAAGGACTCAAGACGCCCGTACCTGGACTCCAGAGAGGCTCCAGGCAGCGCGGGGCTCTATGCACAAACCCTCACGGGTCAGCTCTCCACACACCATCTCTCCTCGCTGCCCCGCCTTTCTTGGCCCCAGCAGATCTGATGCTCACAGCCACTCCCATCCCCATCCTGGACATCACCCCCCTCGGCCCAAT